CCCTAGTGATGGGCACTTTCCCCTCCTTGAAGCACTGCTGACAAGCAAACTGTTTTCATCTGCGAATACTGATGCTGAATATTTCTCCTTTAAATGTACTTAAGAATTTCCCTTTGTAAACCAGTTGCTGGTTCTTAGACTTGGATTCTTCACATATTACAAAATCTTTCCTTCACCATGTAATTGACAGAGAATCCAAACAGGTAACACCATATACATGACTCCTTCATGTCCAGACTGATTACACCACTTGATGCCCTAGTTTATGAGAACCACACCTTAAGAGTGATGCAGCTGACTTATCATCAAACCCAATTTGTATGCCATCGTTACACAGCAACATAAACTCACAGATCATTTACAATATGACCTCACAGGGGAATTTACCCAGATTCACTGACATTGGAGATTAACACATTTAAGATTTGTCATTTCTTTGGGCTCATAAAATCTGTATTCTTACAACCTGTTGCGGAAATAATCTTACACAAGTTTTATCAGCATCAATAACTAATTTTAAAAACATTTTTATTGATTTTAGAGAGAAGGGGTGGGAATCGATGTGAAAGAGAAGCATCAATCAGCTTCCTCCTGTGAACCCCTACCAGGGATCAAGCCCACAACCTAGGCATGTGCCCTGACTGGGAATCCAATCAGCAACCTTTTGGTGCACAGGACTATGTTCAACCAACTGAGCAAAACCAGCCAGGCCATCAGCATTATTATTTTAAAAGTATGCAACTTTTAAGAACAAGTTTATTTTAGAAAGATTAATCATAAAGACTTCTGGTTTAATTCAGCTTTTTCTTTAAAGGGGTAAGGGGAGTTCAAAAGGTTAAAAAACAACTTTAAACTCAATCAATAAACTAGAGCAGCAGAACCGAGTTACACCAGGCTCAGAATTTAGACCACTATGGTTTGTATCCTAGTCCATCTGTCATGCCAGCATTTAATTACAGGCAAATTATTTTAGCCAGTTTCCTCAAATATAAAATGGGCTAATAACTACCTCAGGAGTTAAAATTACATTTCTATCTGGATTCCTAGTTGTTCAACTATGAACTTGTTTTGAAAAAGCTCTATCTCCCAGTATACCCATTTTCCCCTTTTTCATTTTGGTTTGAATTTTATTATTTACTATTATTTGTTGTATGTTACGTTGAGTGTGAAGACAATTATAAAATCTACCCCAAGATAGAGGTTTATTTTCACTGTTATCTCTTTACGAACACAAATACATTAACTTAAAATATTAATGTACTGATTTAAACTATTATAGAGATCCAAAGTACGATTAACTAAATTTCAATACTTACACTTTGCGATCATTTAGAAGCATCCCATTCATTTTTTCAATAGCTCTTTCAGCTGCTTCCTGTGTCTCAAAATGTACAAATCCATAACCCTTGGAACCATTTTCATCACAAACCACCTAGGGAAAAATGTAGAGCAGTTTTTCATTACTTACTATCCATTTAGCTTTTCCCAATGTTCAGAAATACATCTGACCAACACTGATCAGGTGGAGGGAGGCCTAGAGGAGCTGACACCCCAGCACAGTCCAAACCCACATATAACTTTGACTCCCTAAATACTTAAAAGCTGTCCCTCTGTCTCCATGGGGGATTGGTTCCAGGATCCCAAAGGATACCAACATCTGTGGATGTTCAAGTCCCCTGTATAAAACGGTGTAGAACAACGCAGTCGGCCTTTACACCCACAGATTCCCAATGAGACAGAAAACAATACAGGTATATGTTGAGAAAAAAAAATCTGCATTTAAGTGGACACACAGTTCAAATGTGTGTTGTTCAAGGGTCAATGTAACTGTCAGTCACCTAGCTTGGGTATTTGGGAAATAAAGATATCCAGTAATAGAGATATGGCTGCTATTTTAAGGAATAAACTACAAGTAACTAAAATACTGTAAATATGTTTACCTGTCACATTTTTGCTTACCTTACATGAAAGGATGTTACCAAAAGCAGAAAATGTATCATACAGTGCTTTATTATCAATGGATTTGTCCAAATTTTTAATGAATATGTTGCCGACTCCACTTTTGCGCAGTGATGGATCACGCTGAGACCACATGATGCGAACTGGCTTGCCCTTTATAACATCAAAATTCATGGTGTCCAAAGCACGCTCCGCTGCAGGAAGGACATTTTCATAGCAAATTGTTACTTCAAAAATTTTACAGGCCACTTAAAATTTTATGAACTACTGTGTGTGGGAGCCGTGGTTGGGCCCACAGTCTATTTCTTCGAACTTCAAGACAGCTGGACCTTACCTTACACTAGTTGAGATTTAAATCGTGTAACACATAGAAAGACATATCAGAAACCCCAAATTTCCCACCTGTTAATGAATGACATATCACTAATAATGTATTTCTAAAACAAGCTTTCCCTTTAATTGCCATTGTATTTAAAAGCACCTTTTTGCTCCTAGTCAACATAAAATTAAGATTTTCACATAAAACCTGCTTAATGAGCAATATAAAAAACGCTAGGCAATTGAAGATTATCCACAGGCTAAGCATAGTTAATAAATTTTTGAGCATTTTACTTTTTCCCCATTGCTTGCTAAATTGGTCCTTTCATTGGCAGCTTATTACTGCCAATGTTACACAAAAATTAGTTCATTTTCTTAAAAAATAAAAGTCCCTGAATTATTGGGGGGATTTCAGAGATTCATGGCACAACTTCCTATTAACATTTTAACAAAAAAAGGAAAGGCTATACCTATTCAGATCAAGATTTGAATCAGGGCCCACCCGGGCATGGCTCAGAGGTTGAGCATTGGCCTAGGATCCAGATCTTGGTTGATTCCAGGTCAGGGCAAATGCCTGGATTGCAGGCTTGATCCCCAGTCTGGGGCATGCAGGAGGCAGCCGATCAATGATAACTCTCATCATTTATGTTTCTATCTTTCTCTCTCCCTTCCTCTCTCTGAAATCAGTAAAGATATATTTAAAACAACACACAAAACTAATGTGAAGTTGAGCATACTCAGCTGTATAATACAAAATTTTTGAAATACCAGGTCTATAATATTCACAATTCACTATTAACATTTTCTTGACATATAAAACCAATTTTATCTTAGGTAACTTTTGTACTTAATAACTGATTATTTAATCAATCTGGACAGTGCTAGAAAATTTCAAAATCTACCCTATGATTTCAGGATCTATGAAGAATTATGTGCACCCATACCATTTCAGAAATACTTACTAGAGAAGTTGAGACTAAGTAAAAAAAAAATAAAAAATATTTAAGTGAAAAAGACTAGTCCCTTAAGAGGAGAAAAACAGTCCATTTTAAGTTCTACACCAAGTTTCACAAATTCCATGCCAATGTAACTAAAGTTATTGAGAGAGCCAATTTTCTGGCCACTTCTTTTTATAAATGAAAGTTTCCTTTTCTAGAAGAGAGTGAAGAAAGATAAGCTGTCAGCTCATTATCAATTGACCACACCTACTCAGCTCCCCTAGTTTTTTTAGCTGATTTTGCTTAAGCAACTTTTGAATGAGTCACTTCTTCCTGTTAAATTGGAAACTAACTGGTCACTTTCGGAAGCTATTCTACAAGTCCATCCATGTAGCAATAAATTTAAAAAAAGAAAACCACTGAAAAAAACTATTTGGAAGAATAGTAATTTGTACATATAGAAAACAAATAAATGGAAGATGGAAAACTGCTATTTTCTTTTGAGCACAGCACTGTTCTATTAATATAGACTGAAAATACCATTATAACAATGGTAACCCATAGTTCATCTTTTTTCAAATTCCAAAAAATTAAAAAAGTTGTTTCTTTGGATTTAAAGTGGTTAAGCTTAAAACGAAAATAAAAGCCACTTTTCAAAAGTTACCATTTTTGATCTCTAGGATGTGCTCAAGTTTTCTCTAACAACTCTTTAGACTGTGATTACCTGACCCAAACTTATGTTCCCTAATATTACTTTATCTTCTATTCAGTGATCAACTGTGCCCGAGTTGGGAAGAACTATCGTGGAGTGATACTTGGAGGTACTGCTTAGAGCAAAAGGGCCAGGAACCAGCAGTGCAATTTTACAACTTCTGGCTCAGTGTCACTCAATAGTCTGCCTACCCCAAATCCCAATATTAACTTTACCTAGTGGAAAGCTGATAATTAAGTAACTTGAGTTCTACTAAATGAATTTAATAAAATAAAGATTTAAATTCCACCCTTAAGGCCTTTTCTACAAAAATAAAAACAAATTTCTTATATTTCAGAATACCTGACATGTATTTAAGCAGCCTGCGGGAAAAGAAGCAAAATTGGGCCATAAAATCAACTGAAGCTGCCTTGGAATTAAATTGATTCAGATATAAAGAAAAAATCCTGGCAATACACATCAGGCCACATATCTTATCTACCAAATTTTGTTTTTGTGAATGTCAAAATAAAAATACAAGATTAGCAATATACTTCCCCATAAGTTTCAAGCTAATGAGAGCCTGTTACTCAGTACTCATGATTCTTCATGACTTCCAGTTATTCTGGATCACTTTTTAAAAAATAAAGAAACTTGAACTACTTCAATGCCACACAAGTAATAATGATCCATCCCACACTTCGTTCACAAGTAACACTTTACAGCCAAAATTGGCGAATACACTTTTTTTAGTAAAACCCCTCAAAATCATAAGGGCTATTTCAGAAAAGACAACATTCTGAACAAGTTGCCAGTACTACGAAATTAACCTGATTTAAAGTTTTAAATGATCTAAATGCCCTGAGAAAACGATGGCCTTCAAAGGGGTCATCCTTCACATCCCCTCCTCCAACCCTGCAGTTAGTGTTAGGAGTGAAAAGTGCTTGAACTAGGGGAAAAAACCCCAAATGCATGGCTCGTGGCTAATTCACGTTTCTAGAGCCACCAGTCACTGACAAGCTATTAGGAATGCAATTAGAAACCTGAGGACCACCACCACATCGCCGCATTAACTTTATCCTAAGACCCTGTAGCTCCCCCAGGAGATGGGGCCAGAGGCAGACACAGGCCTCGGGCCTGGGAGGTAACAGGGTTCAACACGTGGTAGTGCCCGAGCCCCGAGCCGCACTTCCTCCCGGGCCGCGGCGCCCGCCAGGCTCGCGTGGTAGGAGCGCCTCTACCTACTGCCGTAAAAGGGGGCTCGGCGCCCCGCAATCCCGGAAGCGCCGCGGAAGAACCCCATCTCACCAACCCTCCCCGCGCGTCATCACCCTAAAGTTTGAGAGCGGCTGAGGCCGAGAAAATGGTTGCAAAGGAGGAAGTGAGCAGGCGTGCGAGGGGC